AAGCTTCGCCCTTCCCATTTTTATTGATATAATTTCTCTCTCTCTTAAAAAAAAAATACTTTGGAACATTAGCCAACTCAAAACTATGCAAAAGCATTTGTTCAAGGAAATATCCTTCTTCCCATATACCTTCCATCCTGTTCCCCTCCCTCTAGTAGATAACACATGTATTGTTTTCTGGAATATCCTTCCTGTGTTTCTTTGTGTAAAAAGAACCAGAGGTATGCATGCTTTATTGTTTTCCCTTCTTTCTTACACTCAGAGTGTAGTCCACCATGTATGCTCCTTGGCCCTTGGCTCTCTCCGCGTAGCCCTGTCTCCGGAAGTCACTCTGTATCAGTTCACAGCGACCTTCCTCATTCCTTTCCCAGCTGTACAATGTGCGCCATAGTCTATTCAACCGGTCTTTATGCTCGGACATTTAGGTAGTTTCCAGTATTTTGCAGTCACCAATAATACCATGGTGAATGCCCTTATGCCTGTGCATTTTCATATCCTTGGAGGTGTATCTTCCAAATAAATTCCTGCAAGTGGGATTGCTCAACTGAAGGATATAGGAGTGATTTAAAGTTTTCTTTGAAAATGTATTTAAGTAAAAAAAAAGTGTGAGAGTTCAAATCAAATGATTAATAACAAGTAGTTCAGGCAACACAGAGACATGGCAGAAATGGTAAAGGCAGGCCCACGACTGAAGTTTGGACAGAGCTGGACTAGGGCTTCCCTGGTGGCTCAAGTGGTAAAGAATCCACCTGCCAATGCAGGAGACGCGGGAGACTTGGGTTTGATCCCTGTGTCGGGAAGATCCCCTGGAGGAAGAAATGGCAACCCACTCCAGTATCTTTGCCTGGGAAATCCCATGGACAGAGGAGCCTGGCGGACTGGAGTCTGTGGGGTCACAAAGAGTCGGACACGGCCGAGCATGCATGCACAGAGCAGAGGACTAGGGTTAGAGCATCAGTCCCTTAACCTCTAAAACAGAAACCTGGTGGGGGAAGTGGGGGCTCCTGGTGTAATAACTGAGATTCAGATGGAGCGCCCTGGGAATTCATTGTCAGCGCCTGGGTCCTGGCCTCAGTGTAATCAGGGAAGATCTGTCCATGTGAGCCCACTGGTGTGCTTGCCCTGGTGGTGGTAGCGTGGTGCACGTACCCTGGGAAGGGAGTGAGGCCGCACCGAGGCAGGCATGGTGTCAGCAGGGAGATGGGGCAGCGGGGGCCCAGAAGGCTGTGTGGAACCATGCCGGGCGTCCTGATGCAGCATAAAGAGGGGTGCCCTTTGACCCTCCATCACCAAGGCCCGATCCTCATCAGCATCCACTTTTGAAGATGGCTGTAGAATCTGTTTTGGAACAGTGAGAATCTGGCGAGACCCTCTGCTCAAAAACCTGTTAGCCACTCCTCTCAGGCCCACCTAGCACTTCACATACAGTTTCTGGGAGCTGGCAGACCTGGGTAAGAATCACTGGTTTCAAGAGTTTAAAGGAAGGGGGAAGACCTGCTTGGTATTGGAAGAACTGTTGTATATTTTACCTAGAAAACTACGTGAAGCAGCTCATCCTACACTTAGGCCTGCTGGAGGAGTTGTTGGGGGCGGGGAGCGTGGGAGGTATAGGGGTGCAGCTGTGAGAACCAGAGTGACACGGCCAATGTTCGGAAGCCTCGTTGTATGTGGAGAGGCCGTGATGGGCCTGATTCTGCACCAGGAGTGACCTGGGAAGCAGGAGGAGGGGGGCAGGCTTGGCTTCCAGTGCGGATTTTGCAGCTGTGTGAAGAGTTACTTCTTTGATGATCCAATGATTAAGACTCTGTGCTTCCACTGCAGGGAGCATGAGTTTGATCCCTAGTCAGGGAAATAACCACATACTGTATGGTGCAGCCAAAAAAAAAAAAAGTCATTCTACTTCTGGGTTTCTGTTTCCTCATATCCAGTCTCTAGGACCAAACTAGTGGTTTTCAGGCCATTTTCTGGGAAGCTGCAGAATTCCCGAAAAGAGATCCATGGGCCTCTGTGGAGGGCATGAGGGGACCTGTGGTCAGAGACATTTGGGCACCCGCCCACCCTGTCCCTGGAGCAGCCCTGTGCTCATCTCTTACATGTAGCCACAGGCTACATGCACTGCGGTTTACTCAATAGCTCTTGGTGAATTGACTCAGTGGTTTTGTCTTAAATTCAGCTTCATCCTAAGCAGTAGCATGCACAAAACAGACTTTTTGTGCAGTTAGAATTTTCTTCTAATGCATGTTAAAATAAACACAAAACTGTGCAGACACATGGCACTTAAAAATTGCGTGTCAGCCCCCACCTGTGTGATGGGGCTGACCCCCGTGGGGGACTCTGATCTGTGTTGTCTGACTTCAGACCATGCTGGGAGGGAGGGGCCTGGTGAGAGCAACCCCCTCCCCTAGGTCCAGGCCAATTGTTGGCATTGGGGGGGATGCAGTCCTCCCAGCCAGAGGACAGTCGCAAGCACAGTCACACCTAACAGTCCCAGAAGGGAGGCCAGGATGCAACCCACCCCCATGAGGACACTGCACACAGGTGGATCGCAGGTTGGAGGTGCTTTACACATCACAGCTGCTGAGCGTCATTGCCAGCCCTGCCTGGCCCTAGGCAGACTCATTAGACATGGTCCACTCCAGGGATTTGTACTGAGCATTTGCCTTATGCCAGGCCCTAGACTAGACACTACAATTCTGGTGGAGAACAAGATAGATACGGCAGCACCTCTCATGAAGCCCACGTCCTAGGGTGGGGAAGGCAGACAGGAAACAAGCAAACCAATAAATATAGAATGTAAAATCCAGGTGCGGGTTTCTCCCATAATCTGAAAGTAGAGACCTTTTGTAAGAGAAGATGGTGTAAAGCCAGGAGGCATGTCCTTTAGGATACACCTTGCTAACAGATGCTCAGAGTAAATTGACATAAGGCACCAGCACAGCTCAACGCTACAGCAGCTCGACGCTGAGGTGCTAACTAACTCTGCTTCCCAGGAAGGAGTTTGGTGGGGCCACTTCCATTCTTCGGGTGCACGCTGCCTCTGTAATGACTGTTGCAACACCAACACTAAATGCTATTTCTGCTTTTCTCCTATTTTTGTAAAAGGGAAAGTCCTTTTCAGGTTTCTTTCAATTAGCAAAAACAGGTAGTAATACAGGTCTTTCCATAAACGCCAAATGGCCTAAAAGCAAAACTTCAAAAAGTGGGGATACCTGTAGTTATAAATACCATAAAGTAAAATCAAGAGGAGGGGGGAGGGGACATCTCTATGGAAGAATTCCAAGTAATTTATGTAGCTGTCCTCCCTCACGGAGACAGAACATAGCTCTGTAATCCTTAAGTGTGAGCTGTGCTCAGTGACTTGCTTCCGAAGGGTGTGGGGTGCAAGGAGGAGGAAACGTCACTCTCCGGTGGAGGACTCTGACCAGCTTTCCCTTGGCTGAGTGATGCAGATGACCATCCCCCGGCATAAGTCATGTCGATAGCCTGTGCCCTTGATAGGATGTGATGAGACAGCACTTCCTCTCTGTGGTCTTCCTCCCAGAAACCCATAAGCCCAGTCTAATATTCGGAAGAATGTCGCTCAAACCCAGATTGAGAGGCATCCTAAAAATACCTGACCAGACTTCTCAATCCATAAGGTCATCCGGAGGAAGGGAGGTCTGAGGAACTGTCGCAGCTAAGAGGAGCCTAAGATGTGACAGCTGGATATAATGTGGTTATCCAGGCTGAGGCCCTGGAACTGAACAAGGATACTGGGGAGAAACAAGGGAAATCTGAATGAAGTATGGAGTTGAGTTCATAATAACTTGGAGAGGTAGAGGGAAAACCAAGAGCATTCCAGGCAGAGTAAACAGCCGAGCAAAGGCCCTGGGGCAGGAACAAACCCGTGCGGGTCAAAGGCGAGTGACAAGATGCTCAGGACAGCTGGTGGGCCAGAGAGGGCCTGGAGGTGTGGTCAGCGGGGGTCAAGGGCTGGGCCGTGCGTGGCCTTGATACTGCGGATGGCATTTGGATTTTGTTCTGAGCGTGATGGGAAGACTGAAGGGGGACCTGGGCTAATTTCTGCTTAAAATCACTTGGTTCTGTGGACAACAAATTGGGGTTGGGGTTGGGGGTGGGGGCGGTGGACGCAAAAAAAGCCGTGGGAGGCTCTTGCTTGGGTCAGGGCGAGACGACGACAGAGCCCAGGTGTGCACCTGTCCTTCCTGAGAGGACACACAGGTTCACATTTCGTCATCCTTTACCCTCACCGTGTCTCCTGAAGATAGGGGGCAGCCCTTGAACTCTGGGTTCCAAGAACTAAGTGTTCACTGGTCCACACCTGCTTGTCAAGGAACTCTATTGTAATAAACGGGGACAGCTCATGGCACAGCCACCGTCCACCTCAAACTCAGGACGTTTTCCTTCGTTGGTTCAGACCTTTTTCTGAAAATGAAAATGTACATGGAGGTCAAGTCAGGTGCTATGAAAATTGTCCCTATTTAATTGGGAAAAATAAAGCGAGGTCCATCCCCTCTCTGCCCGCTGGAAGCTGTAAGTGGGAAGAAAAAACAAAGGCTTTGAAAGGCATGGCAGAGCCCGTGCTACAGTGTAAACAGGTTTGGAATATTTTTAGTGGATTTGGTTATGTTTTATTAACCGCATGTCATTTCTTCCATGCTCCTCAATTCCTCCGGGAAGGAAGTGTGGTATCAATAAAGGAGAATAAATAGCTGTTGAAGGAAAATTCTTGAAGTAAATCATTGCAATCTGGGCTTTCCTGTCAAGATCAGATGCCGTTTCTTGACATTGCCAAGCTGAAAGGAGAGAGGGGTGCAGGCCCCGTCTTATTTCTCCCTGGCGTGGGTGTTGCAGGGGCTCCTGTCACCACCGTCGAGTGTTTGCTGGATGTTTGCAGAGCAGGCTGCCGGTCTCCGTCTGGAGCACGAGCGTGTCTGTGAAACTCGATCCAGGGCCGCCTGGGCTCATCCCAGTGTCTGTGTTTGCTTCCAGAGATAGAGATGGTGATCATGGAGCGCAGCAAACTTCCAGAGCTGGCCGCCAGCACCTCCGTGCAGGAGCAGAACACCACGGATGAGGAGAAGAGTGCTGCCACCGGCCTGGACAGTGTCCAGTGGAGCAGGTAGCCGCCGGGCCGGGCAGAGAGCTGCCCCCGAGCCAGCCATCAGCTGCTGCTCGGTGTCTGGGATGAAGTGGTGGGGGGAAGTGCCCTGGCTGGGTGCCCACGGAGGATAAGCTGGGCCTCGTTCCACCACCCTGGTAGCCCCTTCTGCTTCGCAGCCAAGCCATCCTGCTGCTCCTCCCACTGGCCTCCAGAGGCGCCACTCCTCTTGAGAGACCACGGGGACGGAGCTGGCCCTCAAGGCCGTGGTACTCACCCTTCAGAATGAATGACTGAGGCATGACACCACTACTCTAGGCACTTCAGTGCTGGTCCTAACGGGCTGTGGCCTTGTTCGTCGGGCCACTCCTGGCTGTGACCTGCTGCCCCCAGAAAGGATGCCCTTGGGGGCTGCCCCCAGGAAGGATGCCCTTGGGGGCAGCATTTGGATTTTATGATCTCATTCACTCACTGCTGCCATGCTCACCACTGTCTGTAGGGCCTGCCGTGGTGACTCAGCGGAACTGTCTAATGCTGCTGTCCACCTTCGACTTCTTGCTTGATGGTTCATTTCAGTGATGGCTGCCCAAACTATTAACACTATGCAATCTTCCAGATGCCAGCTTCCTGCAGCCTGGCTAGAGCTCCACCCCTTCCAGAAGGAATCGGGTGGAGGGCTGCTGCCAAAGTTGCAGCGAACTGTTAGAGGGCTTCTCCATCTCAGTGTTATTTCCTTAACAGATGCCTGCAGTAATCTCCGAATCCTGTGTCAGTGGTAGTGAATGCGCAGCAATGTGGTTTCTCTGTCAGCCTGCAAGGCATTCACTTCCTGAACTCTCATGGTGGATGAAATACAAACACATACACTCACTCTATTTATTAATCCAACTTAAAGTGAAGTCTTGAAGCACACCAGTCTTTTCCTGCAGGTCTTGTTTATCTCTTTGCTTGACATGTGTTTCAGCTATCTAACAGAAAAGATTAATTTTTTTATCAGATGCACAGGGGAGCCATTTTTAGTTTCGATTAAATAGAAATCTTTGCCGCACAGTGTGGGTTATCAGTTGTACTGCCAAGGACCTTTCTAATTTTATTTTGTGGCCAAAAAAAAAAAGTAACACTGGGAGCTCTGAAAATTAAGGGAATCATTCTAAACACAGAAAGGGAGGGGAAGACAACCTTTAGGTGCTTGGCTCAGCTTTAATTAGAATACAGATCATTAAAAAACTGAAAATAACTTGTCATGAGGGATGTGCACCTGCTTAATGCATCGCTGCATGCTCAGCTGCTCAATGTGTGACTCTTGTGCGAGCTGGTAGACTCGCTCTGACTCTCTGCGAGCCAGTAGACTATAGCCCGCCAAGCTCTTCTGTTCATGGGATTTCCCAGGCAAGAATAATGGAGTGGGTTGCCATTCCCTTCTCCAGGGGATCTCTCCGACTGAGGGATCGAAGCAGGCAGATTCTTCACCACTTAGCCGCCAGGGAAGCCCGTTCAGTTTCTTAGGATCTAATAAATGGAAACAGCACATTTTTGCATAGTGTGATAATACTGTAGCTTTCCTAAAGGAGGAAAAACACTCATGTACTGTCAAAAACAAAAAGTCAACAGACCAAATTTTATGTTTGAGTATTGGAGTTGAGACTTCTTTTTTTCTCCCCTGAATCTTAGTGAAGAGAGGGGTTTTCTTCAAGTTGATTGAGATTGTTTCTTAACTGATGGTGACTTTGGCATCTTCTGCCACGTGGTTCATAGTGGAAGCTGATCCTGTATCCTGAGCTGAGCCACATGCAGACTTGTGGCCCTGAGGAACTGAGCAAGAGCTGTGCTCAGCTCTGAGAGACTGGCCCCGGTGGAGAGCTGCCATGGCCTTTGCAAAGGTGCTGTGTTGTTGGTTGTCAGAGACACCCCCTCAGTCTTCCACCCTCTCTCCTCCTGGCGCTGAGCCCGGAGGAGGGCACTGAGGATGAGGGAGGGGACAGGCCTCCTTGACATGAGCTGAATCTTGACACTGGTCCACGTGTCCAGAGAAACAACACAGGACAAAGTGGAACTGTCCTTACATTCCCCATACACTGTGGGCTATCCCTGCCTTCATGGTGAAATACAGAAGTAAGAAACCAGAAACCACTCAGAACCTTCTTTCTTTAAAAAAAAAAAAGAAAGAAAGAAACTTAAAATTTAAAAAGTTAATAGACATTTAGAAAATGTAAAAACCTTGAAAAGTATAAAGAAGGGAAAAAAGGTCTTCATAATTCAAAAGCAGCTGGTACTAGCATTTTGGTGATTTCTTGCCTGTTTTTAATGCCCGTATAGTGGAGATTCTGCCCTCTTTCCCCTCAGTAGCTTATACCATACCATGTCTGTTATTTTTGGTTTTGGTTTTCTCTAATATCAAACTCCAAGTATCTTTTTCACTTTATTCTTCTCTTAGTAAACACAATTCTGATGGCTTCATAATACTTTGTCTCATAAAAGATGGTCAATTCACCCAGCCTTCCCCCTGCTACTGGGTGTTTAGTTATTTGTATTATTCCCAAATAAAAATACAGTCAAAATTCCAAACTATTGGTTTGCAAAAAAAACGTGTGTTTTAATACTTTATCCTACTCTTAAAGTTTGGAAGTGTTTTTGCTGGGGGCTGACAGAAAAACAGATCCACACATGGCAAGACTATTCACACATTAGAATGGTGATGGCTGCTCTGGGGAGGGGAGGGTCTGGGGCTCCAGAGAAATAGAACTGGAAAGTAAATGTTCCTTAAAAGTTTCTTCCTTTAATTTCTGTGTATTACGTGTTTATTTGAAATGTTATGACAAGTGCGTTTCACTGCTTTTCTGCATTTTTCAATATATTTTGAATCAGTGATACCTTTGTGGAGTTCAGAAGTCAGAAAAGTATAAAAAGTTACCCAGCGAATAGGTCTCCGTGTTTCTCTGCTGCACCTCCTGCCTTCCCACAGTCAGCAGCCTTGACCATGGCTTGTGTCCTTCGAGGGGTTACATGTGCCCTTTGTCACTCATTGAGGCTCTCTGCTCTCTTGGCCTCAAGCTGGCATCCTGGGGCAGCCGCAGACAGTCACGGGGTCAGAGCCTCCTGCCAACGGGCCAAATCTGTGCACATTCTATTATCCTCTTGTTGAAGTCTTTCCAGGCCAGGCCCTTCACCCAGAAGGGCAGCATTCAGGCTGTACTGTTTACGTATTTGTAGCCACTCGATAGATCTCACCCACAAAGCCTCAGAGGCGATGCTTCCTATCGATCCCTTCTAGCCAGGGAAGGTCGGCCCAAGAAACTGCCAGGTCAGGACCTGCCAAAGCGAGATCATGGAGAAGTGCCTGTGGAATCCTCACAATAGAAGTGCAACAGCAGCTCGCGTGTCTGAGAACTTTTCACCCGAGCCTGGGCCTGTGTTTGTGCCGCTCTGTTTCATTTCGCTTCAGCCCTTACTGTAAACCCTGAAGGGTTCAATCCCCATCTCACAGATGGGGGATTATAATTTACCCAAGGGTTTGCAGCTAAGAGGCAGAGTCAGCATTTGAACCTCAGCAGTCTGGCTCCAGGGTCCACAGTCTAAAATGATCCAGATTTATTGGTACCTTGCCTGCTGTTGTGAGTCTATCACGTTGCCCCGTCTCCTTCATTCTCTTCTCGCTCTTTGGAGTACTGCTGTGGGGTGTTCATGCTCTGCCTGCCCACTGGCTCGGGGGTGCCACAAGACCACGCTTATCCCCAGTGTGTGGGACAGCAGGTGGACTGTTGTTGAGTGAGTAGTCGGTTAGCCGTTCCTTAGTCAGTTTCCCCGGACATGGCAGCTTCCCAGGGCAGAGCCTGCCTGTCGACACCTCTGTATCCTCCGAGCATGGGGCTGAACTGGGCACTTGGTGGCCATGCTCTATGCTGCTGGCGCGTGCCTGCTCAGCTGTGTCTGACTCTTTACAACCCCATGGACTGTAGCCGGCAGGGTCCCCTGTCTATGGGATTTTCCAGGCAAGAATTCCGGAGTGGGTTGCCATACCCTCCTCCAGGGGTTCGCCCCAACCCAGAGATCGAACATGTGGGTCTCCTGTGTTGGCAGGCGGGTTCTTTACCACCGAGCCACCTGGGAAGTCAGTTCTGCTGGTTGGAGCGGGCAGGGGGGTGGGCGCTGTGAAGGGCAAAGGCAGCTGGCATCCCGTGTGCAGGTGAGGCTCACGCGGCCCCTCTCTTCCAGACCCTTCCTGGATATGGTGTACCATGCCCTGGACAGCCCAGATGACGACTACCATGCACTCTTCGTGCTCTGCCTGCTGTACGCAATGTCTCACAACAAAGGTAAGCCGCTCAGCTTGTCTGCCTTCAGGGAAAAGGACAGCTGCTTTCCTTGGAGAATTTCCTTTCTGGTTTTGGCAGACTCCCGCAGAACCTGTCTACAGCCTTGTTAGAGTTTCTCAGGTGCTTTTCTGCACACTGAAGCCACAGGAATCGGTTACTCAGGCAACACGGGGGCGGGGGGGGGGGGAGGAGGTCAGGGTGGACCGCCACCTGCAGGAGGTTCACACTGTGTTGCTCTCGACCCCTCGCTACAGACTGCAGTGCTGGTGTCCCCTGTGGCTTCCTGCTCTCGACCCCTCGGTCTACAACTGACTTAAGCTTCTGACCTCTTTCCTAACATCAGAACAGAAATCAGTCAAATTGCAATCTTGGTTTTGCTATTTATAATAGTGTGCCATTCTGGGTTCAGAGCTAAAATAGACTCTGAGTGGATTGTGTGGAAGTGCAGGTTTCCTTTCTGAAGAAAGGTGTGGTTCTCTGGCTTCCCCTGTTGAGGCCGAGCGGTCAGGATCAGCCTCTCGCGGAGCTGACGGTTTTGATGAGGATCCATTCATTCACTTCCTGTCTGAGAACAGCCGCTGCTTGTGTACCACCTGGCTTGACACGAGCGAGTTCTGAACCCTCCACATCAGAAGCTCTTTGAAGGAAATGCCGAGAATATTCCTTCTGGCCCCTGCCAAGCGCTGGGCTCGGCATAACTGAGACCTTGCATCAAGGTCTGATGTTTTAGTAGGTTTCTCAAAAGCTTGTTGGGGGGTAGTTAGAGGTGGGTTTTACTATGATGGCCTATGGCTGGAGTCATTTAGAAAGCACTCAACAAAACAGAATATGTATTTATTCTGAAATAATTAATGATGATAAGTTGTATGCATGCTTACTCCATGGCTTCAGGCCTGTCCGACTCTCTGCAACCCCATAAACTGTAGCCCGCCACGCTCCTCTGTCCATGGGGTTATCCCAGCAAGAGTACTGGAGTGGGTTGCCATTTCCTACTCCAGGAGATCTTCCCGACCCAGGGATCGAACCCGTGTCTCCTATGGCTCCTATATTAGCAGGCAGATCCTTTACCACTGAGCCACCTGGGAAGCCCTTGATAAGTAAGTTAATTAGTGGCAAAAGAAGATACGGTGAAAAAGGCCCCCTTTTCCCACATTTGTCCTCCACCTCTTCTTCAAAGGCCATTTGTGTTAACAGTTTCTTGTGTCTTTGTAAAGATAGTTGTGCAAGCCCAAGTACCAAGTATATACGATTTTATTTCAATGGGTTCCCCACCCCCAACATGAATGGAGGTTCATTCCTTATTATGGTCCGTTCTGTGCCTTGCTTTTGTCACATCCTCATGTATCAGCATATCACCTCCCATCCCTGTAGAATTGCCTCGTGCTTTTTAATCCTATGTCTGTGCCGTTGTTTGTTCTGCCATCCCCTTACTGAATGACGCTGAGACCATTTCCAGGCTTTTCCTACTCAAGATGGAGCCAGCCATGGTGGCTGTTCTGTATAAGTCACTGTGCTCATATGCAAGTGCTTAGATCTAGTCTGAAGTGTTAGTCGTTCAGTCGTGTCCGACTCTTTGTGACCCCATGGACTATAATCCACCAGTCTCCTCTGTCCATAGAACTCTCCAGGCAAGAATACTGGAATGGGTAGCCATTCCCTTCTCCAGGGGGTCTTCCCGACCCAGGGGTCGAACCTGGGTCTCCTGCACTTCAGGCAGACTCTTTACCGTCTGATCCACCAGGGAAGCCCAGGAGAAGCATGGCAGGCTCCCTCTGATGTCCCCTCCCGACAGTCCTGTTGACTCCCGTGGCTTCTTCGATCCCCTCCAGCTCTGGCTCAGTGCCTGGCACATGGGAGCCCTCAGTTCCTGGGAATAAACAGAGCTCCAAGCCTGACCCATGGAGTCCGTCCCACCCGTGGATCGCCTGCCATCTGTGCCCACTTCACCCCATCTCTGCACTCTGACTCCCTGCACCTCACATGCTGGAGGCTTTGAGCTGGGTGATTGAACACCACCTTGAAAAGTCTGTTTATGCCACACTCGTCACCCGTAAATATACCCTGACCTCATCACACTTCCTGCCATTTCTGGTTCAGTTGAATTTGCCAGCCAAGGTTGAAACTGCCATGACCTTTAGCTTTTTCCCTCCTTTGATCCCAGCATTTAGTCATCAAGTGTTGTCATCTCTCCCTCTTTGGCCTGTCTGATCAGCATAATGTAACAGCACAATTCAGTGCCTGGGTCTAAGCTTGGTGCTGGTGGCGAGGACCAAAGCCAGGAGAGCAGGCCGGATCCTGAGTGCGTCACTCCAGTAGCTTTACCACAGCCCTCTGGAGGGGTCAGCATGTGCTGACATGGCCTCCTCGTAATCCATCCTCCACAGCACTGCTGGGCAGTTCCCTGTAAGGCTGTTTTGTCCATGTCCTTCCCCTGTTCAAAAACCTTTGGGGCCTTCTTCTCTCCCTTCAACTCCAGCCTCCTGGAACCTGCTATTCTGAGTACCTGGATTGCACCCACCATCCTAACTTGATCTGATTCCCCTGATTCCCCATTGCAGACGCTTGGCCCTGGCCCAGGGATTCAGACGCTAAGTAGTGATTAACTCTTTCACAGAGATAAACTTGTAGTGACTGTCATGGTACTCTTCAATATTCTTTTGGTTACAAGCCCCAGAAACCACCTCACATTAAGAAAAAGAATCTTATGGGAAGGTCCCTGGGACAGCTCATGAGATCCAAGAAGTTGCTGAAAAGCCAAGGAAAGGGCAGGAACCAACCAACTCTGGGGACTTAAGAGGGATGGTGATTTGGGTCCAGCAGATCTCAGGCAGGGAATCTGTCTCCATTCTGGTTTCAGATTGGTGGGCAAGAGATCTGATTGTTCCAGGCTAGTGATGGGTCTGACTCTGGAGCAGTCAGTTGTGACTGAGGGTGGGGTGGGTGGGGTCAGGGTCACATAGCTCAGAGCTGGCCCCAGGGTGTTTCAGCTCTGCGTCTGGAACTGTTCCCAGAGAAGGGAACTTCTCTGGAAGCCTGGCAGCCACCCCAGTCAGTGTCAACACACCTACCTGTTCTTGGCGAGGCTTCTACCTTCTTGTATCCATCTGTGTCTTTTCTTGCTGTTTTCTCTGCCCTGACATCACCATCTATTGAAATTATGCTTGCCTGTCAAGGGCCTGCTCGGAAGTCACCTTATCCTAGAAGTTTTCTCTGAGCCCTTCAGGTGATACTCACTGTGGGTCCGTATCCTCTAGTATGGCAGGCACCTTTTACACTTTGCTGGATGTGATTTGCTAAAACTTTGTGAAGAATTTTTGCATCTATGTTTCTGAGTGTTATTGGCCTGTGGTCTCCCTGTAATTCTCTTGTTTTGTTGCTTATGTTCACCTAATGGAATGGATGGGGAAATAGTCCCTCCTCCTGAGTTTTCTGGAGGAGTTTTTGTAGAGCTGGTCTATTTCTTCCTTTACCATTTGGTGAAATTCACCAGTGAAACCATCTGGGCCTGGAGTTTTCTTTGAGAAAAGGTTTTAAAGTACTCAATTTCCTTAGTAGATATAAAGCTATTAAAGCTTTTTTATTTCTTCTACACAAGTTTTGGTAGCTTATATCTTTCTAGGAATTTGTCATTTCATCTAAACTATTGAATTTATTGGCATAGACTTTTTTTTTACCTATGTTCCTTTATTATTCTCTTAATGTCTGTTGAATCTGTAGTGATGCCCCTTTTCAATTCATGGTATTAATAGTTTAGGTCTTCATTTTTTTTTTCCTGATCAGTTTGGTTAGAAACTTTCAGTTTTAAATTAATTTTATTGGTACTGTCAAAGAACTTTTGGTTTCACTGACTTTTCTCTGTGCTTTTTCTGTTCTGTATTTTGTTAATTTCTGTTTTTTATTTTTGACCTTCAGCTGCTTATTTCAAATTTATTCTTTTTCTAGTTTCTTATGATGTAAGTTTAGATCATTGATTATAAGATACAAATCATTACAGGATGAGCAACCAAAAAGTTTGCTCGTGTTATTCCTCTTTAGTCATATCCTCTCCGTACCAGTCATTGATTTTTAAACCTTACTTTTTTTATAAAATACGAGTTTAATGCTGTATATGTCTCTCTAAGCACTGCTTTTGCTTCTTGCAATAAATTTTGATATATGCAGTTTAGTTTTTATTCAGTTTAAAATATTTTACAATTTCTCTTCCGATTTCTTTTTGTCTATTCTACCATCTGGATAATTTCTCATCATGTTTCTGTTACTGATTTTTGTTTGGTTTGATTTTTAGGTTATATTTTCTTTTTTTCCCTTTTCATGCTTTCATGCTTGGTATTTTTTGATTGGTTGACAGTTGGTATGAATTTTATGTTGGATACTGAATTCTTTCTCCCTTTCAGTATTTTTGGGCTTTGTCCTGCGACATGGTAAAGTTACTTGAAATCCATGAGATCTTTCTAGAGTCTTGCTTTTAAGCCTTGGTAGTGGTAGTCCAGAACAGCCTTTAGTCTCAGGCTCATTTGGCCCCAGTATGGAGGCTGTCCGCTTCTGAGGACTCTACTTGATAAGCCATGATTAGGTGGCCCATCCTTGTAGGCTGGTGTAAATGTGAGTTCTTCTCAGCCCTGGGTAAGCTCCAGGGGTAGTTCCACGCTCCTCCTCCCAGTAGGCCTTTGCATTTCTTCACCTGCATGCCCTGGGGCAGAACTGAACCGAAGCCTTGGAAGGAAGGCTCTGCAGGCCCGCAGGTCCGTGTGCCTCTCCCTTCTCTTCTTCTCTTTCCCATCAGTTCTAGTCACTTACCTCTCTGAACTGCAGGCTCTGCCTTCTCACCCCAGAGGGACCACGGGCTTCGTTCGGCTTCTGTTGGTCTGTTCTGAGGCCTGGAAGCTTTCCAGCCAGTGATCTGGAGCAATCCCAGGCCCACTGCCTTTGTTTCTTCTCTCTCAGGTTCCCCTCCTATGTTGCAAGCTGTCTTGTCCTGTGTGTCATAACCACTGTCTTATATAATTTGCTGACTCTTCTAGTTGCTTGAGTGAGGTGGGTAAATCCAACCTCTCTTGGCTGGAAGCTGTAACATTTAAAGAAGGAAATTTTATTGAGGTCTAATTGATCAACAGTGAACTGCACATTTTTAAAGTGTGCAGTTTGATGAGCTTTGACACACACGTTCACCCATGAAACCA